TTAATGCTGCCTGCAAACCACTTCAAATTCATTCCACTGTTGGTGCTTGTGGTTGGGGAGTTTTGCAAACCCTCTAATCATTGTTTGTGGCCAGGTTTCCTTCTATGATCAAGAAGAAGATGCTAATGGGAGAAAAGAGAGAGATGTAATCATAGAAGAAAGAAAAAGTTTAGTTTCCACAATCTAGTCCTTCAATTCCCTTAGATTACTGGAAGAGACTATTCACAAATAATTAAAGCCATCGGTATTGGTTTATTCTCTAATCAAGAAACTATATTTTGTAAAATCAAAATGATTGAGGTCAGAAAAGATGCTCAACCAAGACTTCTCAAGGTTTACCATTACTCTCTCAAATGAAAAAAAAACACGAATATATGTGTCTTTCCATGGAAAAAAATGTAATGGTTTCTTTAGTGCCTGCTTTAGGCAAAAAATAAATAACCCACTTATTTTTAATAATTAAATTTTAATCTGTGTGTCAGGTAAAACAATAATATATTTCTGCAACTTTAAAAATTAAAACACTTAATAGAATAAAAAAGAACGAATCATCACATATTTTAAATGAAAAAATTAATCTTATTTTTGCATATTTTCTGAAAAAAGGGAAATTATTTTTAAGACAGTTACTCTTTTTTTCTCATTCCTCATGTAGTAATCATTTATACCTCATGATCTTTATAGCAACAACCAAAGAAAACCCTAATTTGCATAAATAGCATGTTGCAAATGGAATCTTTATGGTCATAGCTTTCTTACTTTATTCTCTTCTCATTTATTTGTTGTTCTCATTTTGTGCACTGATCCTAAGGAAAGACATTTTTGGGAAAGGAGAGTTTTGTCCATTTTAACTGCATTAAAATCCATAAAATACAGTACTTTGATCAAAGCAAATTAAGAATGTTTGGTCAACAATTGTAATATAATGATGGATTTTATCAGGTATTTCAAAATGTGTCCTATTGGTTGAAGAGTATAATATTGCTCATGGAACTCTTCTATCCTTGGTAAGCAAAGGAACAAGGTGGAAAACCAATTCATAAGCGCAGTAAAATTTACAGATCTGAGCTCAACTAATATGCCCAGAGTGACTTGGAACAGTGATTGCGACCCCTCTCAAAGTTACTTGCAATTCCCGTGGCGATGTCAGTTCGATGACCTTGATGCTAAGCCAAAACAAAGCAAACTACACTGTGGTTTAGTGCAATACATAAAACTAGCTATCATCTAATGTGCATGAAAATAGTGAGAGGTATTTCAATTCTCAGGATGATGAAGCAAAGTGGAAGAACTGAAATAGACATACCGTATTATTTCAAATTATTTAGATAATCCAAGTTCTACAATTTTCTGGCTGTTTTTCTTAAAGTGCTGAGATTGTTTTAGCTATTACCTCTTGGTAACTTAGACTAGTATTGTGCTGAGAGCTCAAAGTAGATAGGAGTAGTGTCACATGATGTCTTATCTTGGCTGATAATGTGAAACTAAAGCATATGCATGCAAACAATCCTCCAAGCAGTTATGATCTTTAATCATATTATTTCCTGGCACATGAAGGAATGCTTTTATTTAGCTCTATTTCCTGGAGATGCCTAGAGTGATTCTTGGTAGGCACAGTAGAAAAGTACTATGGAACAGATAATTTGTCTATATGCTTCAATAGTATCTGTGTTTACTATATAGTATTCTGCCCATATGTCTTACTGTAAAAGAAAATTTTTAAATCTTCTCTTAAACATAACCCTAAACATAACCTTCTCTTAAACATAACCATCAGTGACATTATAGTCTTTTTCTTAAGAATTATTATGTCTTTTTTAGCTCACAAATTTTTTTAAAATTACTTTATATAGTGATATAAATACTTTATATATACCCCATTGCCGGCAATGCAAAAAGAGTCGTGATATGTCACGACACGTTACGTGACGTGGCGAGTTTGACACCCGTGTTCTAAACAATCTGATCACTTGTCTCTATTATTACCGGTATTTAGAATAGAGGACTTATATATAAAATAAGACATTTTTTTGGTTTATTTTGCTTCTTCCTTAATACACTAAATCTATCAATACCTTTATGGTCTTTGTGACTATCATATCTCCTTGGGATACGAGATTTAGATAGAGCATGAAAACCATAGGACTCATCTGGGATTTGGATTACCTTTAATCCTTAAGGTGGTTTTTAGAATTTGTAGAGTGTTTTTTTACACTTTTGAGTGTGTGAATTGATGGATCATTTCCAGTGAGACTTCCTTGCTCTATTCCAAAAATATTAACTACTACAAGAGTGACCTTGGCACCCAAGAGTCGACATGATGAGGAGCTTAGCCAGAACTGAAGTGAGACTCAGAAGGTAAATGAATCATATCAAGTATGACCATTGCAGGCCTGAAAATGATTTTTAATTAACCACTGATCCTCAGTGGCAGCAAGTTCATAAAAGCTGTACATCTCAAGGGAACCATATAAAATGTATAAGCAGCAATTTACAAAATCTAATAAGTCTTTTTGAAACTGCTGCTTTCATTCATCCCCTAGCCTTTTCTTATATATACTGCTCAAAAAAATAAAGGGAACACATCCTATAGGATTTCTTATAGGATGTGTTCCCTTTATTTTTTTGAGCAGTATATTTAGCTGCCCAATGATTTCTCAAGATTTAATCTATTAAAGTCACACAAACTCTACTACTTTATCACTTGTGTATCATATAACTTCTTCCTTTTTTTCTTTTTAAATCAGAGAGACAATCAATCAAGAAATGTAAAAACTACGAGTCTTGTAGCATAAGCTTTTCTGGGCCAGACCCTACTCCACCAGATACATGAAGCAGTCACCTAATGGGTAGGTATATATATCCTAGTACAGAGAGAAGGAAATTAATATCTATAGGGAGAAGAGTAGGGGGAGAGGCCCAGTGGTCAAGCAATGAAAGAGGGGGTGGGCAGTGTAATCACAATGCCATGCAGAGCGCAACTGATTACTCAATGCAATCCAATTTTACATAAACCTATGACAAAAAAGCATAAATTTTTAAAACTGGAGTCTTACATAAAGACCTACTTTTCTGCAAGGTTGCAACTAGCAACTTATTTCCAGTCAACAGAATCCATTTATATTTTGCTTATGTATTTTTCAACAGAATAGAAGAATTTGTAAAAATTACTGCATAACATTATACACTTGCCTCTCAAACAGTTCATTAATGTTAGATTTTAAAGATGAGTGCGGTAAAAATGCTGCAAAAGTTTTCCCATGAATACTTGAAAGAACTAATAGAATGACTGCTGCATTTAATGGTTTAGTAAGCATTTTAGTTCCTACTTCCAAGTACCTTTCCTCTTTTCAAGACAGATTGATGGCATCTTCACATAAACTCCCTTGGTAAATATGCCCTTACAGCAAGTCGACTTTCCAGGCACCTTAGCAGAAAAAAGCATGATGTATTAACATCATCTTAAACTGAGTATCGCTACCATAGAGTACTGAAAAGACCACTGTTGTCTGCAGCCAGATCCTACAATATAACTCTCTTTTCTCCATTCTTTGGGTTCAGAAACGTCTTTCTCCAGGAATTGCATCACAAATTCTTAAAACTCAACTTTAATTTGAGATGGTCAAGTTAAAAAATAGATTGGCAGGGTTTCATCAAGTGCCAAGGTATATCTTCTATAGAACCATCCTGGAAAGTAGTCATTGATCCTCACAACCTTAAATGATTGCTTAGAATCTGTACCCAGGTCTAAAGCAGGTATTCATCAACACTAATGGGCTACCTAATGTAAGTTAAATTGTGATGCCACTTCTGTTCCATACCACCTCAATAAATAACATCTGCCATAATATTGAGAATTCACTCATCTGTCCATTATGCCCTTCTATGATAAACAAAACAAGGGTTTTCTTAATTCAGGAAGATAAATGAAATTGGAAGCTGCTTAATTTGGTATTCCTGATGAAGCTACTGTCATTTTATACGATTTTATAGTGTTGATGTGCTATGTCTAATTGTAATCTACTAGTGATTCCACTAGTCACAAATGAGTCACACTCATTCTGATTTGTGTTCTGCATAATATTGTGGTGCATCTACTTTCTTGTGCAGTGCTTGACCTTTTGGCTTTGCTTTCGACACCTCCTTCTCTTTGTACCTAGGGTATATGCATACACATTTACCTACTGAGGTGACTATGTATTTGGTTTATGAAAACTTATGTCACAAAAAACTGATAGATAATAAGGTGCCAGTTAACTTTTTGACTATTATTCATATCAGGTTGGGGAACTGCAACCCTCATTTGGGAATGATAACCATATTTGGTAAATACTGTCACATGATTATAAAAATGGCTAATATACAATCTAGTTTCATTTATTTAATGTAATCCCAAATGATAGTATCTAGGAAACTGATTGTTTCACTGGATGATGTCCTGGTTTTTAATCTGTTCTCATAAAAGATGCAATTATGGTGTTCAATCTTTCAATGTTCCTGAAGACATAGAGTTGGATGCAGCCTAAGTAAGTTACCTGAGATCAATACAAGCTACTTGAGAACAGGACAAAGTTAATTGAGTACCAATGATTTATCATGAGAACTTGGTGGAAATCAATATTCTGTTCTAAAGGGTCTGTATTAAAAAAAGATTTGCGATTATATTATTTATCCTCTAGGTTGGATGAAATTCTCCAGTTTTAATTATGGCTATGACACTAGTTGAGGAGTAATAGTCTGGAAGATATCAGGCTAGAGTAGAAAAAAGTAGTTTACGTCATCACTACTGGGGGAAAATACCTCCTTATACTGCAGACTCAAATCTTTCTTTTCATAGGTTTTTAGATTCAATGGCTCTATTGTCTGTTTTATCATGGGTTTTTTATTATTTATTCTTTATGCCGCCCATCTCTCCTACAAAGGGACTTTGGATAGCTTAAAGGTTATTTTTAATACTCTTTAGGCTAAAATGATCATTTACATTCTGTACTTTTTAACAGGCATGAATCGGCATCCACCAGGTCCTGATATTTCCACCTTTTATCCCTTATCTCCTGGCAGTGTTGGGCAGATAACCCCACCACTTGGCTGGTAAGAGCTTCCTGCTACTTCTGAGTCACACATCTGTGTGCATGTGTGAGTCACACACATGTATTTTGTGTTATGTAAACCCAATGCAAGTTTATTGACTTGAGAAATGACTCATTTTTAAATAATTGTAATGTTTCAGTTTTTAAATAACAATTATCAGCAACCTACTAAGAGCAAATCTGGATTCCAGAAACAATATGATGATCTTAAATGAAATCCACTGTACAATTTACAGATTATATGGCTTGAATACTTGGGGACCTAATAATATGTGTTAGGTAAGATCATTTATTTGGACTTGTAAAATACACAAGTTCCACTGAATACATATAGAATACATACATATTACCACTAAATAACCATAACTCATATGCTCTCATTTTGCATTAATTTATCTTCAATGTAACAAATGTTTCAAATTTGTAAAATTCTTTAAGCAAACTCTTCATCATGAAGGAGGAATGCCCAATTTGATTCAATGTATTAAATGTGTTCTTTAGCTGAAAAAATAGCAATTGAATGAATTTACCTTTCACGAAATTTCTTCCAAGTAGTCAATCAGGTGCAGTATTACTTAGCAAGAGTGTATCTGACATAAACAAATGGGGAGAAAAAAGAATTGTCATAATCCAAATTTTTGTAAATTTTAGATAATAATATTAATGATGCTAATGATCTATATACCTCTTTTGAGTATTTATTTTGGGAGTGATTCTTGTCATTAAGCTGGTACATTAGATAGAAAAACTCCATTTGCTACATGATATTAATTCATGTCAAAAATACTAAAAATAGTTTAACAAACGTTTTTAATTGAAAGAAAATTAGGAGAGGCAAGAGTTTGATGGCCAAACTTTTTTATATTATTGCAGCTGCTTTTTCACTAGGGAAGGATTTTTGGAGTGTGGGAATAGGTTCAGTTCCAACTTTTAAATTTTAACAATTGTTTGCTTTTTTTGGGATGTACATTTTTTTCAAACAAGATGACTCTGAACTAAAAATATTGGTAATATGAATAGTGTACAGCAGAGAATGCTCTTATGTTTCTGCTTACTGTTGTACTATATGATTGATATTTGAATTGTGTGTGCATAATTGTGTACATGTGCAATGGTCTAACCTACTGTGCATGCATGGAAGTTGATTTAAGTGTGAAGAGTGCCATGGTGAGAATAAGAAAGAGCCAGCAGCTTTGAAATGCCAGTTTCTTAAATTTGTCAATCAATAGCTCTGCTTGAATAGAATTGAGTGTATTCTTTCAAGGAAAATTCAGTTATTCTCTCTGAAGTTGATACACAAGTGTGTTAACTTCTATTCAGAAGTTAATTAATTCACGACGGAGAAAAAGACCATGTAAACTATACATGAAAGATTCAAAATATCTGAAACATTTATATTGACCTATTAATGTATCTATTCAGAAGAACAGAACTTTAAACTCCATTTCAAGGGGTTTTTTTTGCGTTCAAACTGTATGAACTTGGGCTGTCTACACACATTGGGTCTGATTTCAGGAAGATGCTTCAGACAGTTTGTTATATGCAAACAACACTCTCCAATGCTTCACGATGTGGGAAAAGACATTAACACACAGCTTTCGTTAGAGTCCCAGTATACTAGGATTTTTCAGAATTCCCTTTTACCAAAGCTAGACAAAGCTATTGGTTCCTTCTGCCTGATTGCTCCAGTTTGGCTCCTCCTCCTTCTGCCATGGGAGTGGCTAAACAGTACAGGAAGGTACAACCCTTTTGTGTTTTACGAAAACTGGGATTCTCAGATTGTTACTATTTTAATAATCATAATATACTAAGAATAAATCCTAGTTTATTATTCTTTTGAAGTGAAGAATATGCTTACTTGGTTTATTAGTAGGTTATCACTTTATTGGTGTTTGGAAAAAGGCAGATTCACTTCTGTTACATTATAATTGATGGGTTGCTTTCTTCTGTGACCTCAGGCAAGGTCAGCCTGTATATCCCATCTCAGGTGGATTCAGGCATCCCTACCCATCTTCACTTTCCGTCGACACTTCCATGTCAAGGTAGGTGTAGGTGGGGAATAACTGGCTCAGGAGTAAATGCTGGACATGAAGGGGAATTGGCTGTATTGCTTTGTGCCGGTGACTGCCTTTGCTTCCTCTCTGCCCCTTAGCTAAACTGTCTTTGTGTATGTATATATAATACTGTGTATACACAGCTTGCTATTATCATTGGCTGATTAAAAAAACATCAAATCTGTGATACAGCAATCTTACTGAAGCCAAAGAGAGTATTAGTTTCGTCAGCACAAGTGCAATGAAATCATTGTACATAATGACGGAAAATAAAACTTTTTACAGTTTGCTTTTTGTTCTCTTTCCTTTCTTTGCAGTTTAATTGTAGAATGCAAGATGAGGGGGAAATTTTCCAGGCTCCAAACTATTTTACAAGTTCGGCAAAAGAAGCTGTGTAGACATGGTTATATTGCTGTATGAATAAGGAACTCTAGTGCAAGCAGGCAGCACTAACTAGGTGTTGGTGGTGGCCTAATTTTATACCATTCTTATCTTTCTGTGGTATGAAAATGTGGGATCTATATGCTGTGCTTGGTGTACCCAAAGGTCGCTGTCATTTTCTATGTATCTTATATCAATAAAATGCAACATACAGATAACAACAATTTAACACATTTGGTGTGTGGATACATGTGCTGTTTGCAATTTAATCATACTTTTTATTTCCTCCCATTTACAAATGTACCAAACTCTGCAGACCCCCTGTGAGAACATCACAGCCTCCCAGCAGTCTGCAGATCAAGGGTTGAGAACCACTGGGCTAGATAATTTTATGTACAGTGCAGAAAAAAAGTAAGAAATAGGAAGCTAAAGAAAGTAAAGATATAATACAAGAAAACAATAGCTCAAACTAGTTTACACCAGCATTTTTCACTGTATTGCTCCATATCTTTCTATCTTGTTAAAAAAAATCCTATTGTTCTTTAAATTTCTCATCATTCTCTTTCTAAGAATCTCATCAATCCCATCAAATGCTTTCTCTCTTTCTTTCATGCTGTCGGTCCCTTTTTCAGGGTTCCTTTTTCAGTCCTCCATTTTCAGGGTTCCTTTTTCAGCCCTCCTTCATTTAACAATGCTTCACTCTTTACAGAATCTTTTCTAGTTTTACCCCAGCCCTAGTAATCTTATTCCATGCAGATTAGGATCTCTGAATGGAGACTATTTTGCAAACCAACGTATTCTTGCCCAGATGCTGGCAGTATATTGACATGCACAGGATGCAGTCCTTGTCAATATTAAAGTTGAAGTCTGGGCCATATTTGATGGGAGAAATAATCTTGGCCAAATAAAGAGAATAATTGGTTCCCCATCACCGCCGCCAGCACCACCACCACTATGATGATCTTTAAAACATTGGGGCATTATTGATTTTATCTATCCAATTTACGCATGTTCCCTAGCTTTTTATAATATTAGCACTATGGTCTGCTTTTAAGCTGGTAATAATTTGAATGGCTTCACTATTATGAAGTACAGAAAATTCTGCTGGAATCGTGAAAAGCTATTTAATACAGTATTTACTGGAATATTTTTTTATAAAGAAGTGAAAAGATAGGATGAGGTAGGATCTATGCTGGAAATCCTTTCCAGTGTAATCGGTAAGCTGCCCCAAAAGGTCCTTGTGGTATGCAGTAGCTACTTTGCTTTAAGAGGCACACACCAGTGTGTAGTGCTTTAAAGGTCTGAGAAGAGACAAAGCCTGTATTTCATTACATGTAGCATTGCAGTTCAAAGTTCCTGGTATTATATTTTCTTCTAATTACTTTGATTGGATGCAACCATGCAAATTTGCACAAGAATGAGCTTCTTAGTTCTCTTCAGCCAAACATACCCTTCTGAGATTTGAACCTGGGCTGCTTGTGTGTATACACACACACACACTGATAGAAAATCCTCGAACTCTGGGAAGGGTATAAACTAGCTGTTTATTGTTAAAAACTAAAACAATAAAAAAAACTATTTACAATACTAAAAACAACCTAAGCTTTCGCTGGTCCACTGCCAGCGTCATCAGAGTGAGTATCAGGGGGTTGGGGGTTTTCTTATAAACCTTGCTAACTCAGTTTCTTGCTCATTGACCATTTGATAGGACTGTTCATCCTAACTGGCCGTAATTGCCTCAGTTGTCCCGCCTCCCCTCGTTTGCATTCCAATTTCACAGCCTTCTTTCCTCCCATTGTTTCTTTTTCCATCCTTCCTCTCCTTGTTGATCCTATCTTTCCTAATATTATCCCTGCCGGCGTATCTTCCGATCGCCCTCCCCCCGTAATCATTCTGGGTCGCATCTCTGGGTCTGGAATGCAAACGAGGGGAGGCGGGACAACTGAGGCAATTACGGCCAGTTAGGACGAACAGTCCTATCAAATGGTCAATGAGCAAGAAACTGAGTTAGCAAGGTTTATAAGAAACCCCCCCACCCCCTGATACTCACTCTGATGACGCTGGCAGTGGACCAGCGAAAGCTTAGGTTGTTTTTAGTATTGTAAATAGTTGTTTTTATTTTTAACAATAAACAGCTGGTTTATACCCTTTCCAGAGTTCAAAGATTTTCTATCATTGTACAGATATGCCTGGGATTCGTATTTTTATAGTTATTAGGGACACACACACACACACACATACACATATATTATCTTGAGTTTGGTGCACCCTGTCGGCCCAAATATGGGAGAAAGGAATCTTAATACATTGGCCTAGAGGTTAATACATCTGCTTAACATGCAGACAGCCCAGGTTCGAATCTCAGAAGGGTATGTCTGGTTGAAAAGAACTAAAAAGTTCGAAATGGCTATTCCAGTTCTCCCTTAATTCTTTGTTAACAATCCAAATTTTGAAATATTATGAACCTCTGCAGTGTGCAGACTGGGATCTTTTAGAGGTTACATAATGGTTTGATGAGAGCCATACACACCATACTGTGTAACTAGGAACATCTCCCTCTAAATTCTTCCAATTTGTTTTCAGCCGTTATAGCATCAGCTTATTCATATTTGAACAGGCTGTTTTTGTCCAATCTCTTTCTTCCTCCCAATTTTATTTAAACATATCTCAACTCTTCTTCAAAACTCCTTGAAACTGCTAATCAAGACTTCATACACTCTCTCATCACAGGCAGTTGGCCAACTTTATGATCTTAAGGGCTCTGTTTCACAACTACCCGCATTGTAGGAACTAACTTTTCCCCCTCACATAGGCTTATTCGCTTGGTGAGAGTTACTCGGTAGACCTAGATAAACATCACCAGGCATTTATTAAACAGGCTCATCACACTGGGAACAACCTTTATGGATGGCTCTGAAACTCCTCATCTTCCTCCAAACCTCAAGTTTAGTGGTTCCCTCATCTCTTTGCGAGATCAGTTGGATTCTCTGCAGTTTGACATTTAGCTAATATTTTCATTGGAGAAAATGTCCATAAAGGGTTTAGAAGTTTTAAGAAGCTTGCCCTGCTCAGTTCCACCCAGGATAAGAAGCAAGAGAGGAGTAAACCTTCTCTTGTCTACTCAGTTCCAGCTGCAACAACTCAAGTTTCTCTTCAGTGTGGATGTTTTAAATTCTATTATCCATTCTTGCTATTGAAAATGTTTCCAGTTTCTGAAGTATTTCATAAAAGTTCTACTACATATTGGACCCTTTCCTTCTCTATACATCAGCGGTTCTCAACCTTTGGGTCGTGACGCCATTTGGGGTCGATCGACCATTTCACGGGGGTCGCCAAGCAAGGCTGTCTGCCATTTTTTTCCCCTTTTCCGACGGGTGCCCTACCTCCCTTGAGCTGGGCCAGCTGGTGGTCGGCCTGCTCCGTCTCTGCCGCTTGCCAGCTACGCCTCGGCCGGCACAGGGGGCGGAACCACGCATGCGCGGCGCTTCTGGGCAGGGAAAGTCCTCGACTTACAACCGGTTGGGTAGTCCTCGACTTACGACCGGTTTAGTCCTCGACTTACGACCGGTTTAGTCCTCGACTTACGACCGGTTGGGGGTCGCGGCATTAAAAAGGTTGAGAACCACTGCTATACATTAATATACCTGCGCTCGTATAGAAAGCTCTGTTTCACCCCCTCCCATGGGAGCTGGCTAGAGAATTAGGCATCTTATTGGTCTTTGTTTCATAAAGAATTAACTGTAATTGCAGTTCTTTGAATGCCAACTGTACATTCTCATAGCTTGTCCTGTTATTTGGCCTCGGGAACTCTCAGCACTGGATCTGTTGTGGTGACTTTATTTATTCATGTATATTCCACCTTTACTATTTTTATAAATAAGGTGGTGGCATACCTAATACTCTTTCCTCCTCCTATTTTCTCCACAACAACAAACCTATGAGGAGGATTGGGCTGAAAGAGAGTGACTGGCCCACCCTGGTCACCCAGTCGGCTTTTATGCCTAAAGCAGGACTAGAATTCACAATCTTCTGGTTTCTAGGCCAGTACACTACACCAAACCTGACTTGGCAGGAACCATGCCAATGTTTGCGTTCACAGGAATAGCATTCTCACCAAACAAGTCTGTAAGCATAAGTGTATAATTCTTGTGTGGGCATTCACATATGACTACTCTCCAGAACTGTGTGCATTCTCCACTTTTAACACAGATAGGCTGTGTCCCTGTATACATTTATAATATATACCCTGTATACACTAATAATAGATAACATACCAAAAGGCTGAAGTGCACATGGGCAGTCTCTTAAATGATCAGTTATAAAAGCAGCCAGATGGGAAAGGGACAGTGTTCAATATTGAAGGATAATAGTATCAGGAGGATGAGTAGTGAGTGTATCCTGTGCCCTAGGAGTGAGTCACGTATCATAGAGACAAGATAAATATTGATCCTGGGATTTAGATTATACAATTGGAAAGCTATAGCTTCTCAAGGAAATGCAACTTTTTCAATCTTATTTTTTTCCTGCATGATCATTCCTCCTTTAGATAGCTGGTGATGGGTAACTTTAATGTCATATTTATGTGAAAAATATTTTTATGGAGCTAGGATGAAATTAGCATTGTTTCCTACTGTATGTGTTTTTAGAATAGTTGGAGGCATCTAATTTCTTTGCATATAATACAAGATATCTACTGTAGCATTTCTCCAGGATTAAAGGACAAAAATAATCCTGTTTATTCTGTCCATATCTTAGCTGTCAAATATAGGAATCTTAATATCTTTGCTGCTAGCCCAATATGAAGTATTTCTTCATAGGCTTCCCTATGATTCCTATGATTGTTCAGTGCTAGGCTAAAATTGCCATTATTAAAAAGACTTGTCCTTTTCCATCCTTTGTAGGTTTTCACATCATATGATCCCAGGTCCTCCAGGACCCCACACAACTGGAATCCCTCATCCTGCAATTGTAACACCTCAAGTCAAACAAGAACATCCACACACAGACAGTGACTTAATGCACGTGTGAGTTGGACTTTTCCACATCTTTTAACAATCCTTAATCTGCATTGCTTGGGAACCAAGTGGACATTGCAATAGTTGTGATAAAGGGCTTTTTTTCTGCTTAACATTAAAATAAAGTGTTGGATATGTGCCTGAGTACGAATATAGCATTATATTTTCAGATGTCACTACCTTGAACAGACCTGGGCTTTTTATAGTCCCTGGCCACATATGGCCTTTTGGCCGTCCCTTTCTGTCCTCTGTGAGGTCAATCAAAAATTAGAAATCAAATGTAAATAAGTGTATACCATGCACATAATACCATGCGCATTGCTTTTATTTTGAAGGTAGCTGCTAATTTTTTTAATTTACATATGTTCGTGCGTGTGTGCATGCCTAGACACCTTCACAGCCCTATAGGTTTGGTCTTCCACAATTTCTCATTTGGCTCCTTGGAAAAATTAATCGCCCACCCCTGACTTTGAATATGAAGCTGTTTACACAGAGATAACTCTTTTAGTATCAAGTCAATGAAGGCTTGCTATGTTCTGATTTTAATACAATCCAACCTAGATATGTATTGTGAAATGGATTATGGCTTATCAAAACTTATCTCATACCAACACAGAGAAATAAAAATATTTGCATAACTAGAAATATGTTTCATTTGGATGGAGGTAATACTGGTAGAATCTTTCTAATTTTATATTCTCAGCTCTGGCTTTTATGATTAACCTAACAAAGGAATACAGTTTAAACTTATATTTCAAGTGAAAACAGGCTTTTTATATAAAAAGCACAATTACATACAAATTAAATGTATATTTTTTTTAAAAAATTAAATGTTATAGATTAACACAGATATGGGAAATATACATAAAAGTGCCAAATAACACCAAAATTAGATTGCTTTTGACTTGCTCATAGATAGAGATAAAACTGTTTTAAATGACAATAATCCCCAGAGTTAGCCTTATATGTACTTTGGGGACTTGAACTTTGTTTTTCTGCCTCTCTATTTTATGAAAAAGATATATGGATATTATTCTTTTTAAAGGAGGTGAGCTTATTACTGTTCCATCTTCAGACCTGTCATTTCATAAGGACATTTTATACCATTTAAATAGGTTGGATGGAAGCAGTATCATTTATCTTTAAAATATTGGGCATTGTTGCATCCCATATTACAGGGAACTCTGTTCCTCAACACCCCTTTGACTGTTGATTCTTGCATTGCTAATTATTAGTTTATCCATAAGTTACTTTGGTCTTAAAAAGGCATGTACTGCTATATGTGTGCATATCATATAGCCATAGAAATTTGATACATCTGGAAATATTTGTGAGTTAAGGAGCTCTAAGACTTCTTAACAAATAACATAGGGAAATACTTCTAGATAGGGATGAGAGGTTATTTTTGGCTTTCTTCTTTCTTTTTCTTTATGCCTGAACACTGAAATAACCTAGGAAATACTGCCATTTAGAAATGAGGAGGTATCTGTTGATGATGTGAAATGCAGTATAAAATATCCCTTAAAAATGAGCATGGTATCAATTGTACTCTTCCATATGTTCTCTTTCCTCCTGTTACCTTTAGGAAGCCTCAACATGAACAGAGGAAAGAACAAGAGCCCAAAAGACCTCACATTAAGAAACCTCTGAATGCTTTCATGTTATACATGAAAGAGATGAGAGCGAACGTTGTAGCAGAATGTACTCTGAAAGAAAGTGCAGCCATCAACCAGATTCTCGGCAGAAGGGTATGGAGAAATATGTTTTTGTGTATATGCATATTGTGTATTCAGTCCATAGTATTCATCTCACCCACCATCAGTGGTGGGATTCAACTGGTGTGAACAACCAGTTCTCTGTGTGGATGCCACTTCTGAAGTCCATTCTGGGCCTGGGCTTTGAATGGTCACTAAATGAATGGTTGTAAGTCGAGAACTACCTGTATGCTGTTATTAATTAGGAGAAATGATCGGATAACTTAAAATAAGCCCAAAGAGTCATTTGTCATCTATAATGATTTTTTTGTCAGCTGCCGTATGTATTTAATTTCTCTCAGTCCCTATATTCTTTGTTCTCACTTCTACAACCAGGAGTCATCTGGGAAAAGCAACTCTTGCCAGATTTCTTTGCTTGCAAGAGTTTAATGATTTCATGAAACAAAATCAATAGCAAACAGCATCCCAGTCGCACTGTGGTGCAAAGTAGTTATTGGAGCAGATATCTAGATTTGTATTGTCCAACAAATTAAATAGCTTATTTTCAAAAGAGGCCTGAAAATTTCTCAATGAGATTAGGCTAGGGCAGCCTTTTCCTATGGAAAGTGATGCATAAATACTGTAGGCAATTCTCAACATCAACATCACATACTTAATATTCTGCTTTACACAGCTTTTGCAGGGAGAGGGAATAGATCTAATCAATCTCAATCATGTTAAAATATTATTGCAATACATTTTTATAAAAATATGCGTGTACCAAAAGTAGCAGAAATGTTTTTATTAAGTTGTGACTCTTACGCCTTTTATTTCCTTCAGATCTTTAACTTGATCTGTGCTTGCCAAGCACATAAACCCTTCGCTTATAAAATTAATCTTGGCGTCAGACTGATTAGGAGCCTATATGCTATGAATACTATGATGTTTATTGCATGGTCCCATCAAAGCATATATTATGTGTTTGATTATTATGTTTCCTAAACATGTCACATGATTAGAAATTCTTATATATTTCCCCAAACACTGAATTAGCTTAAGCTCTTGTCTGTATTTTGATAATTTTCTTCATTACTTAAGATACCTTTTGTCTCCCAGGATAATTCCTACATCTTCTATAATCTATAGTATAGGGTTTTGGTCTATAGCTTAATACTTATAAAGTCTCGAGATATACTGTGAGTGGGCTTTTTCTGGATAGGCATTGGATTATGAATCTAGATGTTATACTTTGATTTGAGGTAGCCTACAGTGCTGATTAGTTAGTGGGTAGTATGCCACAAGGATATTTTCCAATTCTTACTTCAACATGTGCTCTGCCTCCTTAAGATTCCACATATTTTCAGCAAGTGGCTGGACTTGTCTCAGATAGATAGGATTAGGCTTGGTTAGTATTTGGTTGGAATGCTATAGGGATTTTTTCCAGTAAATTATACTGGATTAAAAAAAAAAAAAAAAGACCTGGTAGAACAGATTTAGAAAGAAATTTCCAAATTTTGCCAAGAAAACTATTCAGGTGTCAGGAATTGAATGGAAGGAGACTATTATTACTATTATTTACTTTCAACATATAGGTAGTCTTCGATTTGCAGCAGTCACATGACTATTTTTCAGTTGCTTGGTTATCAGTTCACCTTTACAACTAGTTGCAACAGCCTGAAGTCACACAACCATCATTTGTGATGATTTTTACCAGATTACAGCAAAATTGGAAAAATGCACTTACAACTGTGGCATTTGCTTAACAACTGCTGGTTTACTTAACGACCACTGCAAAAATGTCATAAAATGTGGTCCAGTCACATGGGTCCCCGTCAGACCCAGACCAAGAATGACATAGAACAATCCAGCCAAAGTTCAGTTCTTTATTTGCTGATAAACAGAATCTTGCCAGATTAAACCTCTACCACTGTAACCCTAATGGATATACCCAGGGAGATTGTAGAGAGTGTCCATCCTAAATCTTTCCTTTGATCCAGTTCTGAGCTATATTGTGTCTTGTCTCCTCCCCATACTTAGAATGTGCTCCCTCTTTCTTGGGACACAGCCACCTCACTATAGTCTATCATATCTCCTCCCCCTTAGTAGACATATTCCATCAGAGTGCCTTGACTTATGACTGAAATGCCTTATGACCAGAAAACTGGTTCTAATTGTGATTGTAAGTCAAGGAGTACCTGTATCATGCAAGATTTAAAATTGCAATCAGCAAATAATCTGTTTTATCTTGGCAATAAACCGTTTATGTTTAGAATTTTAACTTTTAAAAAAAAGACATGTAAATGTATGTTTGGTGCTTTCAAAAATCAATAATATTTACTGCTCTTAATGTAAAAAGCATAGTCTACAATGGGGAAAAGTTTGGTTTATACATTTGACATTTTAGCTGAGAGATATTCAGTTTTTTTATCTACACTGAAATACTTTAATATACTGTAGACATAAGCAGTGGTTATTTATCAATTAATATTCGGACCACAACTTGGCCACTAAGTGAAGCGGTTGTGAAATAAAACTGTCGCTGTGCTTATGATTTTCAGCTTTTCTTTGCTTTACAGTCCTGTAAATGTTGTAAATGCAAAGACTGGTCATAAGATTACTTTTTCTATCACCATCGTAACTGTGAGCAGTTGCTACCTGAGGCAGTTGCTAAATGTAAATTACCTATTTCACTTTTTGTAAGAATTATTTTTCTTTTGACAGATCATGTTTCAAAAAGTGAATAGAGATCAGGGATGTCAGATTTTTTTAATGATTAAAATTATTTTTACCCATTGCCCCCATTTCATGCCTACCATGTTAAGGGTTTTTTTTTGAGCCAACACCATTTTAGCAAGCATCAAAAGTGAAACATTTTAAACATACACTTTAAAGAAGCATATTAAAGAGTTCTCATTCAGGCTACTTCTACATAAATTATGGCCTTATCAATGGCATGTGTACTGACCCCACCTTTTGAATATCTGGCAATCTCAGAAAAATCTTGTCTTTACAATTATTTCTGCTTGAGTTCAGTTGGCTCTGAGCATCTATCAATTCATGTAGATTTGGCTATTGGCATAATAGCGCAAACATCCTTTTTTTAATATTTGCACTGATCTGTTAAAAGCATAGTTTGTATATAACAGCAGATGACAAACAAACTGAAATTGCATTGTAGTGAAAGGAGAAATAGCATTGTGGGACTCTAGCCAAAGCTTTAGTGAAGCCTATCTCTAGGGTTATTTCAGAACAGAATAGGACAGGATGTTTAGTTTTGTTTTAAAGGATTGAAATTCTGCTGCCTTAAAAGCTCATTCCGTCTCTAAATAATATATTTCAAACTAATTGATTACACTATGAATTCAGTTATACATACGGTATATTTAGTATTGCCCATTAGAGGAGAACAGTAAAACAACTGACACAAAAAAACCTAGGTGTTGCTAATTTTTAAAATGTAATGTTATAATATTAACATTATATTAACATATCCCTGCTTTACTACTTTACAAGCACAAACAAAATGCAGAATAGAAAAGGCAACAGTAAAATCGATAAAATCAAAATGTTGGGTTACGACAGCCAAGTTTTATGTTGCAAAAATTGTGACTAATTGGCAGATAATTCAGAATATTATGATTTGGTTATGTGTCTAAAAGATAAGATTTCTCCAAAGCTTCTGTTACTAATATTTTTAAGCAGCTCTCCTTCCTTGGTAATGCAGTGTGTCTTTGGCACTTCATCTCTTTTCCTGGCTCCCTCCCATGTTTCCTGCTGCCTGTAGCTCTTGGAAGCTTCAAGCTTCTGCCCTAATTTCCTGCTGTGAAACAGCTGATGGGCAGCTGCAGCGATTGGATCAGGCTGCTGCTTGAAGGGCGAAGGCTGCTGTGGTTCAGGGAAGGTTGTGTATGTGTGCATAGAAGAGCAGCTCACTTGTTCTAAAAATTGCCTCAGGTTCAGTATTTTTGGAATGTTAAAACTACAGGGTTTGGTTTTTAAACAATGCAAGTACTAAGCTCAACAGTAAGAAGTGGTGCTTTAAAGGGCCTTCATTAGGAACTAGGAAGAGAACAGTCTGCAGCTGAAATTCCACATGACTGGAAAAGTGACCAAAAACACCCCAAGGTGGAAGATTTTGATTAGCCTGCTAAAAGTACATTCTGTTGTTGCTATGCTGTTGCTCAGAAATCATCCAGAGAAGTGCTGCAGGATTGCATGGTTAAAAAAGCAGACTGATAAATTGGTTGGTTGAATTACATGTTCTAATTTTTAATTACCATTATTGATTCTTACTCCAAATGCATCACTTCAAGATTTCATTGCTACCACTAATTAATCTGTGAAAAGCAGTTAGCAAAAGGTCTCCCTTTCTATTCATTTGTTTCATATGGCATCATCTCCATGATCCTAAATATTGCAATTGTTTTTATTTATGTATTAGGTTTATATACTTATATACAACTCTGGGTGGTGGCATAGAACATTTAAATAAAACATCATAGATAAAACAATATAGAACATAAAAATCATTGTTAAAAGTTAAAATATTACAAACATTTAAAATATATAAAACTACAAGGCATGGAAAATATATCAGCCACATTAGTGGAGCAATCTTAAAATGTCTTCGGTTCTCTGGGATCTTGAGGGACTTCTGAAACATTAAAAGAGAGGAACTAACCTGACTTGGAGAGAATATTCCATAAAGCGAGCACCATAGCAGAGAAGGCTCGCCTTCTGGGACCCATCATCCTAGCAGATGGTATCAACAACATCCCTTCTTTGCCAGATCTAATGGGATGAGCTGATGTAATTGGGAAAGATGTTGCTAAGATAACCCAGTTCTATGCCATGAATGGCTTTAAACCAGCATCTTGTATTGGAAGTGAAAGCAAACTGGTAGCCAATGCAACTCACAGAACAGAAGTTGTGAGAACATAACTGCCCATGTTGCTGCATTCTGCACCAGTTGAAACTTCCAGATCCTCTTCAAAGGCAGTCCCATATTGAGCACATTATAGGAGTTCAATCTGGAAGTGACTAAGGTATGAGTGTCTGTGGACAGAACTTCCCAATCCAGGAATGGGTGTAACTGACATACAACATGAAGTTGTGCAAAAGCCTTTCTAGACATGAGCGTTGCCTACTCTTCAAGCAGGTGTTCAGAATCACCCTCAAAATGTGCACCATATCAATCTAGAGCAGTATGGCTTCATCCAAAGATGGCATAGTCCTAGAAGCAACAGGCCCCAAAACCTAAACCTGCTCAATTTTGCCAGGATTCAGCTGAAGCCTGTTGTTCCACTCCAGACCTCACAGCCTCCAGGCACTGAGATAAGATCCTCATGGCATTGCTTAATTCATCAGTGGAAGTGATATATAATTGGGTATCATCATCTTCATTCATTGCCATGTGAAAGCCATATTTATTCAAAGTTTCCACCAGTGGTGGGATTCAAATAATTTAACAACTGGTTCTCTGCCCAAAGAGCAACTTAAGAACACATAAAGGCACGGGCTTCCCTGAATGCTAAAAGTAAAGGGGGGGCGGGTGAAGTAAGCTGCCTGAGGAAGAGGCAGAAGTGGAAAACTGCTGCAAGGTGATCGGTTTCACCCACCTCCACCCAGGAACAAAACTTCTCAAGCGACCCTGAGGAGCCTCGGTCGCCAAGGTCATATTCGCTTGCACGAAGCAGCAGCCTGTGTGGACTGCCTCCATCCCAGCTGGGAAAGGGGAAAAGGGAGAAAGGCAGCTTACTGTAAATTCCTTTGCCTCTCTGGGTGTCAAGTCTTTCTTCCTTCCTTCCTTCCTTCCTTCCTTCCTTCCTTCCTTCCTTCCTTCCTTCCTTCCTTCCTTCCTTCCTTCCTTCGTGCAGTGATCGCTGGTCCGCACTTTCTTGCTGCCCTGCATTGGCCACTTTTCAAGGGCTTTGCAGAACCATCGGGGAAGGGGAGCCTGGCCTTCCTCGCCCAGCTACATCTGGCGTAGTTTTCCTGGAGCTTACCATAGTGTCCTTCCATACGAAGCATCCTTCCTTTCCTCCCTTCTGCCAGGAGGAAAGCAGCAGAACATGGGGCTGCCATTTCCAGAATGGGGAAGAAGGAACACGGGGGCTAATGC